AATAGGAAACGTCGTTTACGAGTAAAACCCATGTATACAAATTCAAAGAGGTCGACTCTCTGAAACGTAATTCTGTGAGAGCCATACATTATGTTTAAAACTAAAACTTCAAGTAAAATGTGTGCATTTTGTGTAATTTCAACACTAAAAATGCAATAATTATGTCTGTGAATTCTTTTTAATAACATTGTTATGCTGTTGCTAATCAAAGGAGTCTAAAGAAACATTCATTTTTTATAATCGAACATTTGTCTGCGAGCCAGATGCAGCCATCAATTAATATATCCACATCTGGCTAGAGAGCCATAGGTTCCCGACACCTGGCCTAATAATTGTGCACAAATTGTGAATCAAGGTAAGTAAGAGGTTTTTTTTTAATTATTCGAGTATTTACAAGATTACCCCCCTTACCTGTGGACCTGCAATTAGTAAGCCAAAAGGAACAAAACGAAATGTCTCTGGTGACAGCACAAGAGGTGTGGGCGGGTAGTTGACTGCACCAAAGAATTACAGAAAGATAAGAAATACTAATTTCATTGAAACTTATTTTTTCTTTAAAGTCATATTAATGCGTCTTTATCCAATAATTATTGGAATGAAAAACGATCTAGAAAATAAATATATATATAGTTTTATTGCGTTTTTATGTACTTTTATTAAATATTTATAATTGATTTTATTCTCTTAAAATTTTTTTCTTGCCGCCCCAAGAAAAATTTACTGTAAAAAAAAATGCTAATTAAAAATAGGCGTTGGCCTTATACGCATCTGTTAGCAATTGGTAATCGAACGATTCACACTACTACTAATGCCTATGTAGCCAAATCTTCATGAACCACTCGTGTAACCAGTAATGTAAGTAGGGAATAGTGGACTAATAGATCATTTTAGGCTTTAAATAAAAAGACAGGACAGTTAAAATGACATTTCGGCGAGATGTTTTTTTTTCAGCAGACAATCCAAACAATAAATAAGATCAAACATTTTTTTTCTTTTTTAAACTTCGAAAAATGAAAAGTGTGGTCACTGTTTAGACCCGAAAGTCTAAATTTTAAAAAAATAATTACATTTTGAAAATGATCTAGACATTTTAATTTAAAAATAATTATTGATTTCGCTAATTCATATTGTACTAGAAAAAGCAGCCAAACAATAAGTGTTTCTTTCAGAAATGTTCCTTTTTTGGGAAAAGGGGGGGGGGGGGTACATTTCAGACGTTCTGAGGCATTCTGGAGGTGCGGCATTTTCCGACAGAGCAGAGTTTGTATCCTTGAATAAGAGTGTGGTAAAAATTCTTGTCCCTCTCCCCACCCCAACCCCTTTTTATACCCAGGATGGCACTATGATGGCCACGCAACTAGGCAATGTATATCTTTCAGCGTCGAAACTGGTGATCATGGTCAGCTACACTGTCATTTTTCTCAAGAATAAATCGAAGGCACCGATGGCTCCTGGGAGACATGTGGATATATGGGGAGGCCCTCCCCAGAAAATTATAGATAACTTAAACATTCAAGAATGCATATTAACACATGCCTGAATTTAAGTTTACATCACTTTAACACTTAATCGGAGAGCAGTTAACAGGACAGATGCTGGTTACAAAAATAATGTAGGAGACGCTTGACTTGAGAGTCGACATAAGCGCCCATCAAACCATGAGGCTGCAGGGGTGGGGGTGGGGCTAGGGTGTTCAGTGTGGACTTTTTTTCTTTAATTATCATTTTTGAATTCAGGGGAAGGGGGAACAAAACTGAAAAGTGGAAGAGGGGATCGAAAAGGCAATGTGACATATCTCTCTGCTTGACATATACAAATATCTATACATTTTAGTGAATTTTTTTTTAAACTGATCATTTTTATAAATCGTAGAAGAATGGCATAGTTATATTAGACAACATAAAATATTTTTAAAAAAGATTTCATATATTTATAAATGTCTCATTTTATTTATAGGAAATTGTATAACTATTTAGTATAAATGTCCTAATATTTATTTGATTGAATTGATTATTTGGAATTTAAACTAGCATACCTTTTCTTTACATAAAATACAAATTGTCTCTTCGGTCTAATTATTTCATTTTTTTACCACATCCTTAGAATTCATTTTAAATTGGCGCATTGAGCTTATTCAAAACGGGTTAAAAAAAAACAAAAAAAACCCGTACTACACCAGGGTGCTGGAGCCCAATCCCCAGCAAGAGCCTATAGTGACAAATAAAACAGCACCAGCCTATAGTGACAAATAAAACAGCACCAGCCTATAGTGACAAATAAAACAGCACCAGCCTATAGTGACAAATAAAACAGCACCAGCCTATAGTGACAAATAAAACAGCACCAGCCTATAGTGACAAATAAAACAGCACCAGCCTATAGTGACAAATAAAACAGCACCAGCCTATAGTGACAAATAAAACAGCACCAGCCTATAGTGACAAATAAAACAGCACCAGCCTATAGTGACAAATAAAACAGCACCAGCCTATAGTGACAAATAAAACAGCACCAGCCTATAGTGACAAATAAAACAGCACCAGCCTCCCGAGAAGATGTGGCTCGTACACCTTGGGCGGCAACTCATATCTAAGAGCAGAAAAAAACTCCGATTTCAAACCACGGAGATGGAATCCCCCACTTTTGGTGGTATGACATTGACACAATGAACATTTCAGCAACTCGTGGCAACTCTACTGGTGCCAAGCTGTATCATCCACACTTTCGCATTTGCTGGTCCAACAATTTGGAACGCCCTTCCACTCGATCTCAGAAACATCCAGACACTGGAGTCCTTTAAAACCGATTTAAAGACACATTTATTTCGCAAGCACCTTCTGGGATGATTGTCTACCATATTTTCCATTTAATGCATATTAGCTGTGTTGCTCACGGTTGAAATGGGTTGAAAGACTTTGACATTGTATGCTTTTTTTTATTTTTTTTTGTTTTTTTTTTTTTTTTTTGATTCCCCCCCCCCCTTTTTTTTTTGGGTTATCCAGATGCGTGGAGAGAGAGAGGCGATTTTGCTGTCTATGGAACATGCATGCTCATCCTTCCTAAAAAGAAATTTGCTTGTGATTTCGTCCTTTCGTCCTGCGAAGTCTACTAAACCATGCTCACAATGGGGACGGTTGAAAAGTACGTCCCCGTGTTAATTATTATATGTGGGCTTTTACGGCTGCATTTTCACGACCCCGTCTCTTTAAATTGTCCTTTTTATGTGTGTTTTTATTTCAGAGATGAAAGATAATGTTGTCTGCAAAGCAAGGTCACTTTATGGTGGCGAATATCTCCATTTGAATCCTCTGCCAGGGGGCGAACATTTTTTTAACACAGCCACCCAGCCACTCGATAAGACAATGAGTTTTACGAATACAATCCGAAGTAAAAATTATAGGAATGCAGCAATATTTTTTTTTTTTTAACGATCGCATGATTTTATTTCCTAAAAACTGGGAAGAATTATTGAGACATTAACGAGATTGTAATGGTTTGTTATCGGTATTATTATGGAATAGCCAAAAATGTTCTAAAATTTATAAACTTTAAATTTATGTATTACTAATATTCATCTCATAATGACATCCTGAAATAAACAGCAGTACCATAAATGAAATGAACAAAGACCATGGGATTTGCCAAGTCCAAGGACTAGATGGGATTGGGGGTTGTCCTCCACTACTCAAAAGTTAGGGGAGGGCGGTGCTTAGGCTCCCAGCATGTAAGCCTATGATTTAGCTACCTGAAAATGACATTTTGTATGACATAGTCTCTTCCTAGCACAATGCCAAGGAAAGCGGAAACTCGGGCAAAGCCTGAAAATGGTGCCAATATATAGGATGGACCGGTAATTAAACAACCCTTAAAAGCAACGTTTTTCCCATAAATGACAATCTGGTAAGAAGCTGAAAATTTGACAAAATATGCATACAAGTAACGCTCTCTAAGAATGCCAGTTAGTCCCCCCCCCCCCCCAACCCTTAAAGGTTCAACACCGACCATTGTTCATCCCCTGAACTGTATTAATATTCTTATGACCCATCCGCTTTTACAATGCTGCTTTATTTCACCAACTATTTCAGAAAAAATAAAGAAGAAAATATTACGCACCAAATGCGTTTGCGATATTTTTATATAAAGAATCTCATTTAGCGCAGGAAAATTGATTTTGAGGTGGTTTGGAGGGTGGGGCTGAAATTTGAATGTATTGTCATCGGCATCGAGTCTATGGCAATGTTCCATTTAAGCTGCGCAGCCGTTTTGAGTATCCGCGCCGCTAATTTCCCTTAAAATGTGTGTTTGTGGGCTGTAAAATTTTGCACACAAAAAATTGATGCTGGACAACTTTGCACACAACTGTATGATTTTGTACACGAAGCAGCAAACCTTAGAGGGAACATTTGTCTATGGGCCAAGTTTTAGCTCGATATGTTAACGGAAAGGGGATCAATTAGCCGTCCGAAGATTTTGCCACCCAGCCAGCCACCCACGAATAAAAGTGAGGTTAATATATAATAATGGATTTAAAATGACGAACTCTTATTTTTTTATTCATTTATTTTTATTACCTGTGTGTGTGTGTGTGTGTGTGAAAAAAACATGGCATTTTATCGTTTAATTCTCTATTATCTATAAATTAAGTCCTATCTAAAGACGACTTGGCAAACGAGGCATATCCTGCTCCTACACCATAGACGCGAGCCCAGGGTGCCAAAATGGGGTTGCACCAAACAAGAAAATAACATATCTCCCGTATAAAGTCTTCAACAATAACCATCTGAATTTTGGAAAACATATTATCTTAACTAAACAATCACCCTTCAACGTCAGGTAATAACTATTTCTTTTCTTTTCTTTTTTTTTTTTTAATTTTAATTTTTTTTCTTCTAAAATATATATCACTAACGACGCTAAAATTGTTTGCACAGAAATTGTGTACCATCGCCGGATGTGACGTAGAGCACACTAGGCTAGTTTGTGGTACCCGACTTGATAGAAATGAGGAAGCCACGTTATTTGTAAACAAAAAAAAAAAAAAAGACAGAAAAATACGGAACTGTAAAGTTGAACTTTTGAACCGATTAGAACTTTTTCAATCTGCTTGGACCGGTGATATCTTATCAACGAATACTAGAGACCCAAATAATCACCGGAGATATAGCGTACTGTAGCAATCCAACGAAAAATACTGGTAATTGCCAATTGGTAAGTAGTAAGGTAAAATACAAATTTATTTTTAAAATATATATATTTTTTAAACATTTGAATTGACTTTGCTTATTCACATATTATTACGTATATAATAGTGTAAATGGACGCTATTTCTATTATTATTGTTGTTAATCATTGAAATTTTATATTATCTAGACAAAAAATACTAACTATAAATAAACATTGATTTACATTGTCATTAGTCTCATTGGACTCATACTCAACTCATTCATTCATTTCAAATGAGCCACAATTACAATTGACAATTATGATTTTCAAATTGTCAACTGACTAATTAAAAAAAAACAATACTTAATCAGTTATAGTTATTTAAGTTATAGCCATGAATAACAAGATTGTAAGTCAAGTGTAATATTTTGATCTCCTAAAATTTAAGACTTAGAACTTTTGTTTTGGATCTAAAAGACAATATATTAATATATAATATTTGACTTATACTACTTATAAAATCCTTTCAATGATGAAAGAAGATGATTATTTATTTTCAAAAAAAAAAAAATAAAACAAAAATAATTGCTTTGAACTTAGTAAGCTATATTGTATTCTATATCAGAAATTAACACAATTTGTTTATTAGACTAGGCTGACTAGGCAAGTACTGGAATAATAATAGGTATGGACCATCTAAATCAATGATTAATTTGAGTAGATTAACTCTTTTAACTTTTGTTAAAATTGGGAAAGCTATAGCTATAGACTAATTAATTTAATAATGCAAAAATACGATCAGGCGAAAGTAATACTACTAACTAAATAAGGAATTCCTAAATTAAAATAGACCTAAAATGAATGTATAAGTAAAACGCCTACCCTACCTCTTACCATACTCTATAGGGCAAAGTGGCCTGTTAATTTCTTATATCTATCTTTTACTCTTAGACTAAGGCCTTCTAATAAAAACCATGCCCATACTGATAATAATATACTGTGATTTAGTGATGACTCTATCTATATTAATATTATATTTTGGTATAAGAGATACTAAACTAAAAGATCTTGGCATAGACAGATAGACTCTGACTCTATGGCACAGGAATAAGTTTAAGTAAAATTAGTAGGCATTTTATGGCATTCAACTTTAGACATTTTTTTTTCTAATTAAAAAAAAAAATATTCTTGCTGTTAAAGATCAATGAATGTGACTGAAATAGGCCTATATAGTATTTATACATTTATATGTTCTTTAATGTGCCTATTCATAGTTGTGATATGATATCAACAAAGTTTAATTAGGCCTTGCTCTCCAAACAAAGATTGTTACATTTGTTTAGCCCCAGGTTGATAATTAAGCATAAATGCCTACCTCCATTATGGAGGTATACAATTAAATAATTCTCAGACATAAGCCAGTAGTTTAGTTCTGTTTACACTGTTTTCACATCACTGGCAAACCCTTTTTAGACATTTCAGGGCACTTTAGTCACTTATATAATCTTAGATATCTGAAGGTACGAGAGATAAACTCTTGGAACCTAGAAGTATTTTATTTACAGTCTTTGTATGACATTTAGAAATGCATTGTGTTTGCCCTTTTCTTCCCTCAAAGCTATTATCAAATTATCTGTAATTTTAATTAACCTATATTTCAATCATTTTTATGCCAGTTAAATTTTTAGAGTTATAGTGATCTAGAAAATGAGACTAGCGGGCTGTGACAACTAAATAATGCCTAGTGTGTTTTGTTTTAATTTCTGTAAGAAGACAAGTCTTATAATTTTTAGCTTTGTTATTACAGACTTTTATTGATTTTTAGTATGCATCATAAGTTTATTTATAAGCTTATTTGTTTTTCTGTAAATTTTGTGAATACCATTATTAAACCAAAAGAAATAAATTAAATTGAGCAACAGCAGATTGTCCCATATTATTGGGGCAGGTGTGTTTTTGTAACTGATATCGTCCTGTTCAACTGATTTATTAATAATAGCTACAGAACTAGCAATGTCGAGCAGTGACACGCAATAACCAGTTTCAAAAAGGGATTGCCACTGAAACCATTTAGAGACCAAAAGAAATAATTTTAAATAAATATTTTGCTTCATTGCAGGACTCAATTTGGAGGTCTGCCACACGGAGGAAAAGTTAAAAGGACGGCAGCTGTTCACCACAGTTAATATATATTGTGCTCTCTGCAGAAAGAAAATATTTAAGGGACAGAGTTTTACAATATAAAATCTATTGTAAGTTACTGACACATTTTCGCTGAGGACATCTGATCATACATACAGTATCTTATACTTCACTAGGACCTGAAAGAAGAAAAAAATGTCTCATGGGACCGTAATCTCACAGCAGCCTAGGTCTGATGACAAGGGGAGACAAGACATGCAAATGAATCCCTACCCTGTTGTTGTACAGCCAGGCATGCAGGCACAGCAAGGTATATAAACACATATTGTTATTGTAAATCTTGGGGAGATAATTTGAGATTTCCCATAATTATAAGTCTTATTATCCTGTGAGTTTAGGGCAGGTAACAGTAAAGAAAGGAAATGTTTATCTATATTTTAAATGTTAACCCTAATTTATTAAAGTAATCTTACATTTAACTCTTTTAAGAATATCCCTCTTAAATTTAAAAAAAAAAATAGTTACTTCGGGTTTCATGTACGACTTTTCAACAATGAAAACACTTCATTTTTCAAGTTGGATCTAAGTTTTCTCTGGAGTGCAAATTTATATTTAGAATGTGTACGTTTATTTTCCCATTAAAGTATACCCTAAATAAATCAGGAAATAAACTCATTACCCAAGTATGTTTTTTTTTATAAGCTTGACTTGCAGTTACCTATCAACAAATCAGGAAATAAACCCCTTTTTTTTCAAGGCATCCCTTGTCTAGCACGTATTTGTGGAGATTCACATGAAATTAATCATTGGGGCACATAAATTTCTCATACTCACTCTGATATTTGACCGTTACGTCGTGTCATTCTCTGATTTTTAAGACCCAACCTTATAAATTTGGAGCATCTAAGCCTTTACATATTTGAACCAATAGTACCTCTCTGCAGTTGTAGGTTGATTTTATTAGTTATTTTGGGTAAACAGATGATTCTAGTTTTTATCAGGCTTACACTTGACTCAAGTTATATTAGGTATACACTTGATTATAGTTATATTAGGTATACACTTGAGTCTAGTTATATTAGGTATACACTTGATTCTAATTATATTAGGTCAATTAGGTATACACTGGATTCTATGCATAACATATATACAGTCGATTTTAGTTATATTATGTGTAAGGTGTACAATCGATTCTAGTTATATTTGTAAATAAATTTAGTTTTATAAGATAAAAGATAAACCACTGATCCTGGTTAAACGCATGTTGTATAAAAACTGGAGAGAAGAAATAATCTGCGTGCAGTTATCAAGGTAGCTGAACCTTCTTTATTTTAATTTTTTTCCCTCAAGGGTTGGGGGGGTTGTTGTAAAATGTTCTAACAAAACCATTTACTTTTCCAATTTTCCAAGCTATTAACCTCTGGTTTAAAAATAGACGGGTTGGAATTGAATCTTGTAGGCTACTTTCCATTTTTTATTTTTTATTTATTTCTTGATGAATCTGCCATTCAGGGTGACACACCAAAATAAAATACTGTAGCTGTGGTAATCTTGTTTAAGTTCTGTTGTCTTTTTTTTTTCTTTCTTATTAATTAACACTTTGGTTACAAAATTGTTTTTTTTTTTTACTGATTTTTTTAAATTTTTAAATGATTCTATGTGTTATCTGCTCTATTGTCACCTCTTTTAAAAGTGGGCAATATCTTATTTAAAAAAAAGAAACAACTGTACTGAGAGCCCCAAGTCATTGTAAGGCTAGTTTCACAAATCCGAGAGTCCCAAGTCTTTGTAGGGCTTGTCTCACAAATCTGAGAGGTCCCAGTCTTTGTAGGGCTTGTCTCACAAATCTGAGAGGCCCCAGTCTTTGTAGGGCTTGTCTCACAAATCTCAGAGGCCCAAGTCATTGTAAGGCTTGTCTCACAAATCATGTTATCAAGCTAATAAATGGGGAATAGAAAATCAGTGGCAACTCTGTGGTAAACCAGTTATAAAGAAGAAAAAAAATCAGTGGCAAGTCCAACACTAGTGATAGCACTGGTGAGCCAGTAGTGACATTTAATTATTGGGGGCTGTAGATCTCTAAAGGTAAACATATGTTTTCTTGTTTTTCAAATATGACTTACAAAAATGGTGTTGCTTGCCCAGGAGTCTCAAACTTGGGGGTCCACAGGATCCGGCACTTCAAACTTTCTTCTTTGTCCTTCAGAGGCATTGGGGTAACAATGCAATGTTAATAAGACACAGCTCTTAGTTTTGAAACAGGTTTGTTTGTTAGTAATTATCTTCTTGTGTCCAATCCTGTATTGTCAGACCCCTTCTTTACTCAATTTTATATTAGGAGGTGAATAGAGTCTGTGGGCCTATTTTAAGATTATGTTTTACATAGAGATCTTTGTTCGAAATTCTCATTGGGAGAAGTGCCCAGTGCAGAAGCTTATAGTAAGAATCGTTACCTCGGTCTTTAGATGGTCCATTGTCACTGTTCTTAAATCAATGTTCAGAATTTGTGTAGTACCCCTGGCTTCTGCGGACCACCGACTGTCCATGGTGCTGAGAAGGCTATTAACCACTGAATCATTACAATTAACAGTGGTTAAAGAGCTGTTGAGTTCTGTGGGTTTACAAATATGAGTCCATTGTTTTATACATTTTAACAACCCTGCTTTCACATCGCTTTTCCTACAGTTTAATAAACTATTTGTTGTGGTGTTTATGCATTACCAGGAATATCGCTTCCCAGCGCCTTTCAATTCTACATGTGCCACCTGGAAGTGTCCAGTAAAAATTATTGTGGCTAGTTGAGAAGGACACTCATCTATACTCATCTATATTTTCATCATAAGACACACCAGCCTCATTGATTAAAGTTTTGCCACACACCTTTTATTTCTATTATTTTAAATGTATTTGTGATGTGCAGCTTCCAAGTGAATTAATATTATATTAAAAGACTAGGGTTATTTTTATTTGAATGTAATATTTAGGTAAAATGCCATGAACACAATTTTGTCCCCTTTGTGTTTAAGTAATTTGAACCTTGTTGACACAACAGTGTGTTAGGACACATCAATTGAAAAATTGTACACATGCCAAAAGTTTGGGAAACCCTGAGATGAATACAATTAATCTTGTATGTTTTACCCTATTTTTGTCCATGGGATAAGGGTGGATACCACACCTTCATGGGATAAGGGTGGATACCACACCTTCACAGATTTTTTTTTTTTTTTTTTTCTCCTCTCCATATTAGTGAAGAAATTTTGTTGGTTTTTTTCAACATTTTCTTTCCACAATTTTTGAATGCCTGTTCAGTTGCAATGATTAAAGTGTGCACAAATGCTGTTCAGGGTGCAGCTAGAATGTGTTCATCCCTCTTGCACAAATCCTATTAGCAGTTCCCCCTCTACCACTGCACTTGGCCTACTTTCAACAAAAGATTGATCCAATGTTTGGTCTGACAGAGCTAACACATAAATTTCTCATATTCAGGAGCTGGGATATGTATTTCTCTGTTTGCAAGTATCTCCCCACCCTGTCAGGCCCCCCTCCCCATGATTTAGTGGACTGATTGCTTGTCTTGCCCCAGGTTATGGAATCTGGACTCTATAGTGCATGGTTGATGGGGGAGGGGGCTGCTCTATTTTAACAAGGCTAATTTAGAGCAACAAAAGAAAAAAGAAAATGAAAGTTCCATGAGTGAAGCTATTTATGAAGATGTTTTGGGCATGTGAAACAAAAACATGTTTCAAACTGAGGACTCTCATAGTATTTTTCCACTGAGGTGTAACCATTTTTACTTTTATAGCTCTTATTGAAATTTTTTTTTTTTTTTTTTTTTTTTTTTTTCAATTATCATTTTTTTAAAGAAAAAGGGATGTAGGTCTATGTGGTTATAGTTTTACAGGAACATCTGCTTACTCACTATCTTTTTTATTCTGAACACAATCCATTATAAACCCAAATAATAATTTAATTAATTTATATAGTTTGCTGTTTTACTTTAAAAAGCAGGATTAATTTTGTGTTCTTTCTAGTACCGGTATGATTAAAATTATTACAGCCGCTTTCACTTTGGCTTAAAAATCGAACACCTTTCTCCTGTCAAAAGTGTGATTTTTAAATATAGTATAGTTTACTTTTATTTTATTTATTTTTTTATTTAAACATAAACTTGTTATATATTTGAATATACCCAGGATTGCCTCCTGTAAGATGATTAATCATGTTAAAAGCCTTTACCTGACACCCTTTATTTTTTCTTATTCTTATGTCTTGTTAAGGCATGATGATGGGCCCCCCACCCAATGTTGTCATCCCTTACGGCCTACCACCAAGCATGGCCTACCTGCAGAACTTGGATGAGATCAAAGTCCACCAGATACTGGAGCTGGCCGAAGGTGGGCTCATTTTTAAACATTGTATTCAATTAACATTGTATTCAACTCAATGATGCTGCTATAGCTATAACACAATACAGAAATACCTTGCTGCTTCGCATTTAGTTTCACGTCCTCACTCCTTCACAGGTTTTCTCCTTGTATAGTTTGTGGCATACATGATTTTATGTATTTATTGTTTTAATTACTTTTGCGGTAAAATAAGCATTTTCAAGTTTAAAAAATTGAAAAAAATATAAATATAACTTAAATTAAAACTTTTTAGAAGAATATTAAATCCAAATAAAACACGCAGCATAAGAGAATAGAAAGTGTTTATTAGTGTTGGCAAGATTAATAAAATTGTGGGGAAGGTTGATAAGAGTGTGTGAAGGGTTTAAAATGTGTATAAATCCTACTATGGTTTTTCTCTTGTATTCATTCATAACAAGCGGTGCCTTGAAAATCGTTTTAAAAGGTGCCTGCAGTTTTTCTCTATACGTTTGTGGTCCAAGTATGGAAACTTGATTGGAAGCATCTATCACTTATTAGCCATTAATTAAAGGTAGAGCAAAAAGCATTTGGCATTGCAAAAAAAAAAATATCTATACATCTATATATATATAAAGGTGAATGTTTGTTTGTGGCGGGCGGTGTTTGTTCCACAAAGGCTTTTACATGGATTGATGGATCTTGACCAAACTTGGAACATATATCTATCTTTATCCGGAAGGAACTCTTAGGGGGTTATGAACTTTTTATAACATTCAGTTTGGGGCCGGGGGCCCCGAATTCGTTTTTTCCATATATGCGCTATATTAATAAAATTAACAACAAATACTCCTGCATGAATGGATGGATCTCGACCAAACTTAGTACACATATACTTGATTATCCATATTCAAATACCGAAGGGTACTGAAATCATAATATCCATCCCTCTGGGGCCGGGGGTTCCCGTTTCATTTTTTCTTATATAAGCTATATAAATATTAATAAGCTTAGTACTCCTACATGAATGGATGTATCTTGACCAAACTTAGTACACATATACCTGATTATCCATATTCAAATACCCAAGGGTACTGAAATCATAATATCAATTCTTCGGGGGCCGGGTGCCCCATTTTACTTTTCCTTATTTAAGCTTTATAAATATCAAAAGGCTTAAACAACACATTAGATTCTATTTGAATTGATGGATCTATGCCTAGCTTAGTAGCAATACAGCAATACCCTTCACTGTCTGTATTGAAATATCGGTGGATTTAAAACATATAATATCCAATCAAGAATTTTCCAGAAAGTTCCATAATTTTAAAAAGCAATGTATATGGGATTTTTAAACCGATTTCAATGGGACAAATTTTAAATTTTAACGTTATTATTTATCAGAATGATTTTTATAGGGCTCCCTATCTCAGGCATAACTAAATCTGTACAGTTATGGAATGGGCCCCCAGGGGCCCCTTGATTAAATTAAAAGAAAAAGGATTATAATTATGTTATTTGTTAAGGATTTTTATGATATTCAAAAAATATTTAGAAAAGTAGTTTTTACACATGTTTCGAGCAGGTTATTAAATTTAATCTAGAATATTCCAGAAAGTTAAAAATTGTTACAAGGGAATGAATATCTAGTGGGATCTAAGGGATTATTGAAATGTTAGTTAATTCTCTTCATTTCTATACTGCCTTGGAGTTAACTGTTCTCTCAGTACCACTGAAGAATTTTTTGATGCGGGATCCCATCATAATCTTTATCCCAACGGGATTAGGATCCCTCGGGATCCTAACCTTGAATGGATCCACCGGGATCAGGATCACAACGGGAAATGGGACTGCGCCGGGATTGGTGTCAGAATGGGATTAGGGTTCCAATGGGATCGGGGTCACACCAGGATGGGGTCTAATGCAATCCCGTGCAACGCCAGGTATATTGGCTAGTGTGTGTATATATATATATATATATATATATATATATATATATATATATATATATATATATATATAAGACACACGCTTGTTCTATATATATTATATATATATATATATATATATTGAAGTCACACGCTTGTGCTAAATAGATGTGGAATGAGGATGGATAAAAAGTCACACAAGAGAAAATTACCCTAATCCAGTAGCTGACAACCTGTGGCTCTTTGTCATGTAGCTCTTAAGACACTGCTAGTTACAAGATCAAAAGTTAATTTTTGGCTATTTTTATTCTTCGTCATGTGTTTCTTGGATACCACTGCTAGTTCCTATTTTAAAACTTAATATTTGGCTCTTTACCCTGAACAGGCTCCCGATCCTTAGCGTAGTCAATCACTGAAATAGGTCAAGTATCAAATATCAAATAGTCGGAGAAATTAATGCATCTTTTGCCTGAGAACCTGCACTCCACCAGAGCAAACAGTGGGGTATGATCCAAGACATACTCAGGAGAGGACACTGAACCATCCCTCGGAAGGCATCAAGAGATAGAGGCCCTTGAGTAGCTGTTGGTTGCTGATTGCTCTCACATAAATTGTTTTAGGAATGGTAGGCCAAAACTAATAATTGACATTTTCATTTTATTTCATTTTTTTTTTTAAACTGATAACTTAATGATTGTTTTTTTTTGTTGTTGTTGTTGTTGTTGACAGTGCTTATTGGTTGGGAAAGGAACAACAAATACAACATCTGCAATGGCCAGGACCAGAAGTTCATGTATGCCAAAGAAGGTAGGCAAGGGCTGTAATTTAACTTGTGCTGAGTTATCTCCCTTTTTGTACAGCTCCCTGTTGAATAGTACTATAAGTTGTTACATTATCATTCTGTAGTAGATAATGTACAATACTGTGAGTATAAGATCTCTATAAGTCAGTCAGAAAATTGTTTGGATAGTAAAATTGTTTAACACAATGAGTCTTAAACAAGAGCTGGCTACATGTTTTTATCCTTTCTCTGACCAAAAAAAAACACACAAAAAAATAATCGACTGTGTTAAGTAACTGTCTTACCTTCTCTGAGACACTAACTTACCTTTCCTACGACGCCATCTTGCCTCAGACACCAACTCATCTTGTTTCAGACACTGACTGCTGTACACGTCAGTTTTGTGGTGTCATGCGGCCATTCGTTATGAACGTCACAGACAACTATGAGACCCCGCTCATGACGCTGTACAGGCCCTTCCGCTGTCAGGCTTCTATCTTCTGGTGCTGCTGCCTCCAGGAAATGGAGATCCAGTCACCCCCTGGGGTTCTGCAAGGCAGGGTTAAAGAAATGTGAGTTAAAAACTAATTTGTTGGTGCTGTTTATCATTTTTTGTCTTTTGTTTATGTGTTACTAGCTAAATTGATTGACAGAGATTTTTCCCTTTTTTAAAAAAAAAATCCATCGCTGATTTTGTACCCAATTTATAATTTAAAAAATAATTTGTTAGATATTTTGTTAGATATATTTGAATTCAAAATTGTTTTTCTTTATGTGCTGTAACAGAAGAAAATAAGAACTCAATTTGTATTACCCTAAGATGAGATATCCCTTGCCTGTATGTTTCCTGTTTGATTCACATGATGTCTGCTTAGGCTATATGGGGAGAGAAAGATTTGACAGGGTGTAAAGCCAACCAGAAATTGTATAGAGTGTAGGCTATATCAGGATCCCATGCTGGTAGTGGAAATTAAGGGCTGGCTGCGCTAGGCTGGACACTTAGAGAGAATGCCAAATGACAGAGGATTGAAGAGGGTGCACCACCAAAACCCCAGAAGAATAGGTCTCAGAGGCAGACCTAGGCTTAGATGGATGGATAATGTGGGAAAAAATCTACAGCAGCTGGGAATCTGTTAGGTCTGAGTGGAAGGAAGGGGGTGGATGTAAGGGGAATCTGTTAGGTCTGAGTGGAAGGAAGGGGATGGATGTAAGGGGAATCTGTTAGGTCTGAGTGGAAGGAAGGGGATGGATGTAAGGGGAATCTGTTAGGTCTGAGTGGAAGGAAGGGGATGGATGTAAGGGGAATCTGTTAGGTCTGAGTGGAAGGAAGGGGATGGATGTAAGGGGAATCTGTTAGGTCTGAGTGGAAGGAAGGGGATGGATGTAAGGGGAATCTGTTAGGTCTGAGTGGAAGGAAGGGGACGGATGTAAGGGGAATCTGTTAGGTCTGAGTGGAAGGAAGGGGATGGATGTAAGGGGAATCTGTTAGGTCTGAGTGGAAGGAAGGGGACGGATGTAAGGGGAATCTGTTAGGTCTGAGTGGAAGGAAGGGGATGGATGTAAGGGGAATCTGTTAGGTCTGAGTGGAAGGAAGGGGACGGATGTAAGGGGAATCTGTTAGGTCTGAGTGGAAGGAAGGGGATGGATGTAAGGGGAATCTGTTAGGTCTGAGTGGAAGGAAGGGGACGGATGTAAGGGGAATCTGTTAGGTCTGAGTGGAAGGAAGGGGATGGATGTAAGGGGAATCTGTTAGGTCTGAGTGGAAGGAAGGGGACGGATGTAAGGGGAATCTGTTAGGTCTGAGTGGAAGGAAGGGGATGGATGTAAGGGGAATCTGTTAGGTCTGAGTGGAAGGAAGGGGATGGATGTAAGGGGGATCTGTTAGGTCTGAGTGGAAGGAAGGGGACGGATGTAAGGGGAATCTGTTAGGTCTGAGTGGAAGGAAGGGGACGGATGTAAAGGGAATCTGTTAGGTCTGAGTGGAAGGAAAGGGATGGATGTAATGCCACTACTGGCAAGATGTTTCAATTTTTGGGGGTAAAAATACTTTTTTTTAAATGAATGTGCACAATGTCATATAGCTTCAACTTCTTCAAGACCAACATTTCTCAGGGCTCTCTACGTCTTAGGAGGCTGAAAGTTGATACACATTTTATTGTGGTGAAATTTGTTAATCTTTGGAAACTTTGTGGAACCACAATCGACCTATTTAATGGTGTCTTTTCAAACATGTTTCATTGGGAAAAAAATTGTGAGTGTGTAGTTGTCATATTTTATTAATTTAAAAAAAAACCCTCATATTAATTAAATGTTGTAAAATATCTTCTATCCCCCCCCCCCTCTCTCTCTGTCTCTTTACAAAATGTTCTTACTTAGGTTGAAAGTATGAAAGAGGTTTTTATTGTGGTGAAATTTTTTAATCTTTGGAAACTTTGTGGAACCACAATCGACCTATTTAATGGTGTTTTTTCAAACATGTTTCATTGGGAAAAAAATTGTGAGTGTGTAGTTGTCATATTTTATTAATTTAAAAAAAAAAACCCTCATATTAATTAAATGTTGTAAAATATCTTCTATCCCCCCCCCCCTCTCTCTCTGTCTCTTTACAAAATGTTCTTACTTAGGTTGAAAGTATGAAAGAGGTGAAAATCAAAGGTGGTCTCCACAACCCCAGTGCCCCTTCTTTCTGGTTTTCCCTTGTCATTATGAGCAAGCAAAGTACACAACCAGTTGAGATAGTATCCTACAAAACTTGACACTTGAAATACAGGACATTCCTGTGGTTTTTAACCAGGTCTTACATTTTTTTTAATGCCTCTTACAACAGTTATTTATTTCATTTACTGATTCAAGGAACTTAATTTCACATCATATTCTCACCCCCCTCCCTTTTTTATCCCCCCCCCCCCTTTTGCCTTTTAAAAATAATATTCTTTCATTTCTTCTCCCTCACCCCCCCCCCCCCACACACACACATACATGCACACACTTTTAAAAATAAGTTTCTTCTCTTCCTTCCTTCTCCCCCACCCCTAAATCTAGTGCAACTTTTTGTACCTAATAACTTGAAAGATTATATACTCATGTCCATATCATTTGCACTTGTTGACTTGAAGATAAGATGTTGTTTTTTTTTATTTTAAATATTTCATCTCACCTGTGAGTTGTAAAACTGCCAAAAGAAGTGGCTTAATTAGTTGATATTTTAATCTGTTTATAAATTCCCCTCAGTAATCTAAAGTAAACTTACGACACCATGAAAGGCATACCTTTCAGAGGCTTGGTTGCTAGCTGGGTCAGTGGACATAGTGGGAAATAGTTCAGATGAGATCAGCATTTGCCAGTAAAGATGCCACCTTAAGGAACAGCTCCTTCACTCAATAATACAACAGGCACAATACTGCACCAGCAGAATACTGTGCTGCCACACCACAATGCACCACCACAGGATACTGTGCTGCCACACCATACTGCACCACCACAGAATACTGTGCTGACACACCATACTGCACTTTAAAATATAGGCCCACATTTCAGTGTCTGCATTCATATTGAGCTTCTTAGACATGGTGTAACATAAGAGTCTTATGTAAATAGTCAAACATTTGTATTTTACTCAACAGTTATTTTAGACCTGTGCTTTTTAAACATTTTATAGTGTAAGGGATCAGAAATAATTTTCCATTTTGCAGAAGTTGGTGTTGCCCAAGTTATTAGACAATGCCCCGCATCAATTATCTTAGTCTTAAATTTTCATCAGTTCCTGACCAGTGTCTGAGAATCTGTGGTCAGGTGCCAATCTCTGAGTAGCAGTGGGGCTAGAAAAAAAAAATGTTCCTCAGTTGAAATCCTCTAAACCCTGTCAATATAGCGTATTTCATTATGTTGGACGCATGGGTCAAATGCAATCTAGCCAAGTTTGTTTAACCATTAGAGCATGAACTACAATAAATATCCTATGAAATCATATTTTTTATACAAGATAAAAATTCCTGACCCTAGCCATCCGCACTTTTACAGTGCTGAGATAACTCCTTCATGTAATATGCCGCAAGTGCTTTGCCCTAGTTTTTCTTTGAAACACAGTTTTTGTTTTTTTTTGTTTTTTCTTTTCATTGAGGCCCACTTCGGGGCCTCGTGTCTGAATTTGAAGATGTTTGGAATACCTACCATCTTCTTCTACATATTAAGGGCCCACGATCAATTTATAGATCATTTTGGCTCCTATGCATGTAGAGGGGATTTGCAATGTCTCTGTGCCTGGTGTTGATGAGGACATTTCACTGATTTCCAGTGCCACTTTGTGAGGGAATCATGCACTGGGGGTTTGAAGGCTTGAGGCAATAAACACAAATAAGTATAGTGTTGTGGCCTCAACTGTTCCTTTTGAAAGCTTGTTCCAGTCCCTGATTGTCTTGGGCAGGAATGAGCAGTTCCTATACTGGCTTCTTGCTGGTATGAGCCGGAATTGCCTGTCATGGCTTCGTCACTGTCAATGGGGGAGAGGGACGAGTTTCTGTTTAATACTGGAACAGTGTACCAGCCCATTATTTATCTTGTACATAATGGAGAGCCTGGATTGTCGTCGTCGTTCTTCCAATGGTGACCAGCCTAGTGTTTCCAGCATGCTGCCAACACTAGAGGTATTCCTAAAGCGGTTCAGGACAAAGCGTGCTGCCCGTCGCTGGACCGCCTCCAACCTGTCAATGCTCTTCTGGATAAATGGGTCCCAGACTGAAGATGCATAATCTAAAACCGGATGGACAAAGGCTTTATATGCTCTTTCTTTCACGCAGGACTTGCCAATCTTTAGATTACGCCTTAAGAATCCCAGGGTCTTATTTGCTTGGTTACATACATTGTTAATATGCTTGTCCCAGCAGACCTCTCTTTGAATGGTAACACCCAGGTACTTTACGGAGTAAAATTCATTCATCATAATTGAGTATTCATTCAAATGCTTTTTGGATAAAAATCATTATCTGTGAGTTGGGTTTGCAAACAATAATACAAAGAATAATACAATGACACAATAACATTGACTGTAATCAAAGCTCTATACACTGACCTATTCTGACAAATAATTCTTTTTTTTTTGCCCTACAGTTTTTATTTTTTGAAAAGTCTGTGAGGGAGTTCCTGAAAAATAATCTTAGGAAATGTGAATTGATCCCGATTTTAGGAATTTATTTTAGCATCTTGTTTAGTCCTAAATAACTATCATAACATTACACATCCAAGGGAAAGTATCAAATTTGATTTATAAATGGAGGCATAATATTTGCCATCTTTCAGATGAGATAAGATTATTGATCCATATAAATGGAAATATTTTTTTAAATACATTGTAAATATTCATTTTCAGCAATTAAATAAATACATATTTAAACCAAGACAACATTTTACAATTATAACAATTTAAACAATAAACATCTAAAGTATGTCTCTTGCATAGTAATAAGCCATAAATGATCTCCTTAAGTGACAATAATGAGTTAATTAGTGATTATTCAGATTTAGTAACTGCTGATGTATATAAATATGCATCTACAGCTTATAGAAACATCACAGAATTAGCAAAGCGTCATCAATAACGGTGAGGGGAGAGGAAAGGAGCCATAAGGAAAGAGACGCGATACCTTAATTCATTTTTTAAAATTTTGATAAATTCATTATGTATATGTACAGTAAGAAGGGACATTCTGCCCAAATTTCTATCGATAAGTTTTAATTTGCTTTTTTTTTTTTATAAAGAGCATGGAATTAAATTATGATCTTTTCTATGCTTCCATCGATGTTAGTTAGAAAACTTTTGCTTTTGTTTCAATAAAAAAAATTAAAAAAAAAAAAAAAAAAAAAAAATAAAATAAAAAAAGGGGGAAGGGGGGGGGGGGGGTAATATTTATTTTTATTTGGTATGGTGCCATATATTTTCAGTCAAACCACTTGCACATTGCTGCAGACATACATATTTTTTTTTTATTCATTGACTGTTTGAACTGTTCTGTAACAATCTGTAATTTTTTTTTCATAATGAAAGTCTAGTTTATCCCTTGATGTAATTTTTCCTGTGTTCTATTACTACAGTGTCTATATGTGTCTCTATGTTTCTCTGACAGATGGACTTGCTGGATCCCCAAGTATAAAGTGTATGATGCACAAAACCAGTGTGTTTTCACTATTGTGGGGGACTGTTGCTACTGCAAGTGCTGCACTGATGTAGTTTTCAAGGTAGGTTCCATCCTGGCCTGGTCCATTCAGCCCGATCGTAGCGATGCGTTATGCTAACCATGGGGGTGTCTGATGCCAACTGTGATGGTGTGCTGAGCTGACTGTAGGGATGTGTGGCCCCCGTGGATGTAGTTATATGTGTTGTGCTGACCATAGGGGTGTCTGGTGCCAACTGTGGTGGTGTGCTGAGCTGACTGTAGGGATGTGTTGCCCCCCTGGATGTAGTAATATGTGTTGTGCTGACCAAAGGGGTGTCTGGTGCCAATTGTGATGGTGTGCTGAGCTGACTGTAGGGATGTGTTGCCCCCGTGGATGTAGTTATATGTGTTGTGCTGACCATAGGGGTGTCTGGTGCCAACTGTGGTGGTGTGCTGAGCTGACTGTAGGGATGTGTTGCCCCCGTGGATGTAGTAATATGTGTTGTGCTGACCATAGGGGTGTCTGGTGCCAATTGTGATGGTGTGCTGAGCTGACTGTAGGGATGTGTTGCCCCCCTGGATGTAGTTATATGTGTTGTGCTGACCAAAGGGGTGTCTGGTGCCAACTGTGATGGTGTGCTTATGTGTGGTGCTGACCATAGGGGTGTCTGGTGCCAACTGTGGTGGTGTGCTGAGCTGACTGTAGGGATGTGTTGCCCCCGTGGATGTAGTAATATGTGTTGTGCTGACCAAAGGGGTGTCTGGTGCCAATTGTGATGGTGTGCTGAGCTGACTGTAGGGATGTGTTGCCCCCCTGGATGTAGTTATATGTGTTGTGCTGACCAAAGGGGTGTCTGGTGCCAACTGTGATGGTGTGCTGAGCTGACTGTAGGGATGTGTTGCCCCCCTGGATGTAGTAATATGTGTTGTGCTGACCAAAGGGGTGTCTGGTGCCAACTGTGGTGGTGTGCTGAGCTGACTGTAGGGATGTGTGGCCCCTGGATGTAGTCATGTGTGTGGTACTGACCCTGGTGATATGTGGCACTTGTATGATGTAATGTGTTGGACTGGATTATAGTGATATTCAACAGGTGAGGATCTGTTTAGTAAACCACACTGATATTTTTCATGGAAATAAAATCCTACAGCAAAGAAATGATCATCACTATTTCTGTTTCCAAAAGAAAACGTATCTTGCTAGCCATAAATTTGATTCACATAATCCTTGTGTCACACGCTAAAATATTTATCTTAGACTTCTTCTAAGTCCGACTGGTTTGATGTTTTATCTACCCTGATGCAATTTTACCTACTGTTGTAAACACTTTAATCAGCCCCCTCTCCGCTCCAACAGGTGTTTCAGGGTGACAGCGAGGGCACGGAGGAGGGGCAGATCATCAAACACTGGGGTGGATGCCGGGAGGTGTTTGGGGGTGCTAATGACTTCAGCATCAAGTGTGAGTACCAGCTGGACTTTTTATTTTTACAACCATGAGACATGGGTCAAACGATCTGAATGCAAGGATAAAATAAAATAACCTGAAAGAATTTAAATATTGATATTTTCCCTTCTTTTTAATTAGAGAGGAAGCCTGCATCTCTAGATCTAATTATTTCTCTATCCGTTGTTAAGATCCTTCCCTCTTGTAACTCACGGGACTCACTACTGTGCTGGAAGATATCTTGACATCGACATTATAATTTTTTTTTAAATTGATGAAAAGAGAATTGAGCGGGTTGGTGTTGAGGACTCATGTGCTATTCAGATTGTTTGCCTACTAAAAAAAATAGCATCTCCCTGTATGTCATTGATGGGTCTAACAATAATTGGAAACAAAATTATATATATATGTGTTAAAAAATTGTGAAATTTTAACTTTTTTACTAATTTTTGTGTTGTCAATTATATTTATAATTAATTATGAATGATTCATGGGAGGATTCCAATCACCAAATTCTTAGTTTGAATGTACCGAAGGCAATCCTAGGACTCCAATACTAAAGTCTACAACCGTTGTTTTGATGTCATATTAAGCAGGAATCAGTTGCTTCCCTTGTTTACAGGCTTTCCTGTGGTTATTAATTTTGTGATGATAATAACCATGAAATGTTGTTCTAGTTAATAGTAAAGAATCTCAATTTTATCATCTTCCCTCCCACCCCACCCCCACCCCTTTTTCTAGTCCCAGCCAACATGGATCTGATGAAGAAGGTTCTACTTTTTGGGGCGACTTTTCTCATTGACTTCAACTACTTTGAATACAGAGGAAACCAGTAGACAAGTCAAGGGTGAACCACGCAGCTCAACCTTGCTGCATCAGGAATAAGGCCTGTAGCAGTCATGTATGACACTTGCTTAAAAGAAAAAAATTAACAAAATCGCTAAATGCACAACATTGCATGCAGGCTGCTTACTCAAAAGCTTCAATTCTGTTAATATTTTTATGTACATGTATTTGGCATAGATTTTCATCCTCGACCGGATGAAAATTTATTTTTCTTTTGCTAATGCTATTTTTTGTAATGCCCGTTTTAAAATGAACCGTGGTGCAGATTTTGAACGCAGAACAAAATACTTCAATGACGACTCTGTGTGCATTTTGTGAACATAAAAACTTTTGTCATATTGTTCTATAGCTTTACTTCTTTTTGCAGACACATTGTGATATTATACACAGACAGTGAGCCAGCAAATCAAATTTTTGTAAATAAATTTTACTTGAGAATAAGTAATTGTAATTGCATTTACAACATTTTTTTTTTTTTAACATGTTTTTTGGAAAATATTTTGAACAAGAAGATTTTGATTTTTAAATGTTCAACTTAACAGCAAAATGCCTTTTAATTTTAACTATACATTTCTCTAGACGTTCAGGTATTCACTTGAAACTTTGAATTCAGCAGAAAGAGGATGCCATTTATTTACAATGCATTTACAGTGTTCAGCGGGAGGACCTCATCATTGACTCCCAGACTACAAAGGATGCAAACAAAAACAGTTTTAAATGTGTTTGATGTAAATTTTCCTTTGACAAAAGCACATATGACTCAAAGGGACATTTTTTTTTCCATAGCATCTCTCTCATATATTACATATCTTTATTTAATTATTTGTTTGAAAACCAACCAGTTACATGAATTTTTGTATGCGTTTAGTAGCTGTGGATATAATGACCTAAGTGTGCCTGTCTGAAAGCACGTAATCTAAAGTTGAATAATAATCACACTAGTGACTTCATTTATTCGAACAGCTCACTAGGAATTTAGTCTGTCTTTATAATATTATCTATACATATATATATATATATATTTTTTACCCCTTCAAAACAAAATCTGACCAAAAAATCTGCAGATATCAAGTGTGCATCGCTCCATGTCCACCCAGCACATACTGTTATTTTAAGGAATACAGTATTTTACAAAGGGGTGTATGAAGCTAGAATTAGGTTTTCTTTTCCTTTTTTTTTAAATAATATTTTTCCATTTTTTTTCAAATTTTAAATCTTTTTACTTCAGTGTTAACACCTGATGTTTGCCTTTACTTTTTTTTTTTTATTGTTTTATGTTTTTTAGGAAAGTATTTTTGGGAGATTTGATAAGTATATTGTACTTTAATGTAAATAAATTTTACTTTTTTTTGTAAAAATATATTTTTTTATATTTTATGGTGTGTTGGTCAATTTTATAGTATTCCACAGATTTGAATATACAAACAAAAACTTTTAAAAAAAATAAATAAACAAATCAATATTTGTCATTGTTTGAGTTATGCATTGCTTTTTTTGGGGCAATATTGCACGATTTAATGCTCAACAGATTTGCCAGCAATGCCTTTATATTAAATTTGTAAACTTTAAAATGTATTTTATGACCTTTTCTTTTTTAAAAAAAACCCAGTGTAGTTAAGTATTTGAACTTTTATTTAATTTACAGCAGTGATAGCACTTCAGAAATTCCATCAAACCCATATTTGTACAGTGAACATTCAACATGACATTTATTTCAACAAATAATAATCATATTTTTGAAAAAATCAAAATACATAATCATTGAGGGGAAAAAGGATGTATTTGTAATTATTTTACAGTTTAAATACAAGAAATGTGGTGTTTTTTTTTTTAAATCATGATTTTATGAACACAATTATAGCATATAACTTTTTTAACATGAATTGAATGAAAGATAAGCCATTTTGCAATGTCAATAATTATACATTAGCTGAGCCAACGGGCAACTGCATAATACATGAAGAAGTGCATAATAATAATTCCAGGTGACTCTCCATTTATCCACCAATGCCTAGTTGTATTGATGGTGGGTTGCTCAATGTGTTCTTTTGTGGGCATACTTGATCAAGCACAGACAGTGTTGGGAAGCAGCTAGTGAGACCGCAGCATGGTGCGCAATGAGAGCCGGGCAGACAACCCTGGAATTATTATTATAGAAGATAAAAAGTTTGTACAAAAAAAATTGCACAAAACAACAATAACTTTATTTGATGTAAATCATTAGGTCCATCACCATCATCACTTTTTAATGACCATCCAGCCACCAGATTTACTGAACGTACTCTCTAAGCCCTATTCTAATGATATTATTAGCACTGAGTTTTTGTGTTTAACCTTCACTTACAAAGAAACTGCCCTTCTTTTCTTGGTTTCTGTTAAAGTTTGAGAGTAGCTGCACATCTCTCTCTGTACATCATATAATGTATTTACTAACTTTGCTGTAGAGTGTGTAACTGATGCTTATATAATTATACCATGAATTAGCTTTAGCCCACCAAAGAATGGCGGGGGAGCAATGGGTGAACTTCCAATCTACTTAAGTTACTTGACATAACATGCATTCAACTAATGCAATTAATAAGATTCCCAATCAATGATATGACCCCATCCTGTACGCTAGCTACCCTGAACTAGGTTAATATTCTAATTTCCCAGCCCCAAATTACACCGCATATTTCTAACACCAACTATTTATCTGAAACAAAAGAATATATTTCTCACCACAAGCATTTGGGGTAATTTTAAGACCCTCATATAGCACCGTTATCGGGTATTTTATTTTGCACATGATATTCAACATTACCTGATCTTCAACCTTACCTTTAGTGGCGGACATTGTAACATGAAGAACTATTTATGTTGATATCATCACAATCACTAATAGCAACAAAGTAGGCAGAAATAAGTAGTTCACTTTGATCATGCTAGTTCACATAACTAAAGCCATAATTAGATAGATATACTATTTTTTTAGTGATTACTTTTATTAAAATGTACTTAGTATATTTTTTTGTATTTTGGAAGGGAGAATATTTATTTTAAAGCTGTTTATTAAGATCTACGAACTATTGGATGTGATAGCTCTACTTTAAAAAATAATAAATTAAATCTCAAAAACTTATCTGAGTAAAGTTTTAACTTCTTTGTCTCTTAGTTGATCCGTCGCTTGGTTGTTGCATCCCTTTGTTGATCTGTCACTCTCTTGTTACATCCCTTTGATGATCTGTCACTTTCTTGTTTCATCCCTTTTTTCAATATGTTCCTTTGTTGTTAAATCCTTCGGTGATCCGTCACTTTCTTGTTACATGCCTTTGTTGACCTGTCATTTTATTCTCAATCCCTTAAAGGCTCTGTCACTTTGCCGTTACATCCCTTGTTTTGATCTGTCACCGTGTTCATACATTTCTTTGTTTTTTTAAGTCACATATATCAGACGCATGATTTCGTTTATGTGTGGTCCCCTATCTAATACAGAGTTGTTTTTTCTATGTGATTGGGGGGGGGGGGGTTGTACAAACTTAAGCCCGCCCGGGGGGGGGGGCACTTACTTTTTAATGACAGAGACACTGGCATATGTTATAATCTTATTTTTTATACATCATCTCACCTCTGTTGAATTTCTTTTGATTATGATCGTCCGAGTGAGTTTAAGCGATCACCCAGAGCTCTCAAACGTTGAGATATTTGGGTTTGTTTCACTTCAAAAGTGGTCCAGTGTTTCCTTTATTTAACGGTCATTCTAAAGCTCTCACTGACAGGCCATTTTTAGGTCCTATTTTTCACTGATTGACAAAACTATCCGTAGTACGTGTGGACGGTCTTCGACCCTGTGTGTCCTGTTGTTGAGACTAGAGCAGAGGTTCCGAATCCAAGAGAGTGGTGCCACTTTAGTGCCGAGACAAGGTAACTGACCACCACAAGATAAAGTATCAAATTGTGAACTGGCCTTTTAGGTTAGGGTGACCAAACGTCCGGTCTTGTCCAGTTTTTTTTTTTTTCACGATCGTACCCGCTGTCCCGAAATTACACATTTTCAAATCACTGAAACTACCAAATTTATAATACAACTTCAAGTAATATTTCGGCTAGCTGTGAAGCCAGTGACAGTAGTGATGTGGGCTCGCGTGATGGCTGCACTGTTTGCCCCCTCCACCACTCTGCCGAGGCTGCGTAAACGACAGTGTCCCTGCCATAGATATTATATGCATAAATAAATAAGTATTCACTGCAACATTATTGTTTTCTTTTCTGATATGCCTCAGATTTCAAATTAAATGACAAAAGTGAAGGTAAATTTTAAAACGATTTCTAGGTCTCAAAATAGTTAAAATGAGCATAAACAGTTTCCGGGGGAGATACCCGGACCCCTCTTTAACAGGAGGGTATCCCCCAGAGGCGTAGCGATGGGGTGGGCAGGGGGGACAGATGTCCCCGGGCGCAAGCTAGTTAGGGGCGCCAAAATGTGATTTGATATTATATTATTGGTAGAAATAATGGGTTTGAGAGTTGACAAAAAAGAAAAGGGGGTGCTTTAAAATGGATCTTGTCCCCGGGCGCCAAACACCCTCTCTACGCCACTGGTATCCCCCCAAACCCTCCTTGGGTGTGTCCCTTTTTTTCTACTTCATGATTTGTTCTCCCTATTTTAGGTACTTTAAAAAAAATACATTATCTTGACACTCCTATAACTAACAATGGAAGAAAAAAAACAACTAATTTTGACACAATAATTTCCAGATATGCTTCATGCCACGCGACGCCATCACCCATTTTGCCTCCTATACTAAGGTATACAACCTATGTTTCTATTGCTTCCCCTTTTTTTAAAAAAAAACCTCAAATTCTGAGAAACTCCGCATTGTGCTTATCAATAGTATATTTGATAATAATCAGGCATTTTTAAAATTCCTTGAACATATTATATAAGTTTATTTAAATGCTATTTGGTCCAAATTACTCTTGTAAACGTCACTTTAATCATTTATTTCCGTAAACATATATTATATTATATACGGTATATAAGAATGAGCTAGGCTGACCGTAACGCCAAAGAACCAAAAAAAGATTTAAATACATTCGAGTTCTTAAAAACGATCATAGATATTTTCCATTTTTTTTTTAACGGAAATTTTACGCACAAAAAATATTTTATATCCGCTTTTATTTTAGTAAAAAATGAAGTATCATTATTCCAAAAACATTTAAAGTAACAATTAAGGAACTATCTTAAGCATTTTATAAGCGTTTGAAATTGATGAGAGAAAAAATTAATTTAAAAGTTTATGATCAAAGAATTACACCGTAATTATATTTATCGGCAAAACCGAAACACCAGTTGTTTTTAATGCGTTTTTAGTGCGTTGTTAATATTGTGAACGAAAATTAACATTAATTTGTTCTAAATAAACACACAAATGACGTCATAGCGCGAATCGCCTTTTTTAGCCTAAAATCTTAATAAAGTCTCCTTGATTTAATACCCGCACTTTACAAAACTAAACAGATGATGTTTTTTTCCCCCTTCTTAAAGGTAAAATTAATAAGTTAATATAACTGATTGATTTTTAAATTGTTAATAACACACACTTTAGCTTTGTATTTTTAACATGTAATAAGTTTTAACTTTTTTTATTTCCAAATATATACTTTTGTTAAAATTTATAACGATATAAAAACTTAATCTTTAAATATACTTCTAATAAGAAAATGCCGTTTTAAGTTCATCAGTGTAGCGAAACTCCATAGCCAAAAGCATTCACTAATCCACTTCTAACTCACTCAAATAAGAACAAATCGAATCAAGTGCAAAATATGTTAGCTTGAGTTTGGAAAGAACTAAAATACGGTGGAAGATTTTATTAATTTTATTTAATCACCATGGCCATTAGCTTGATAACCTGCAAAGTTATTGAATACAGCGAACAAAACTCGTCGAAATTACCACTGGATGGGTAACCAAAGAGTCTTTGTCACTGGACGTACCCAAATTTTTAAATATTTTTTTTTTAAATTGCCAAGGCACTTTTGCATCTCTGCAGAAATAGTTATATTTATCATGTGAATGAAGCGACAGCATGTGATATTCCTGCTTTTTTATCAATGAATCGGCTTTCAAATCGTTCGCTGAGATCAATGTGCCGCATGGCATACACAGGCACAGAAATATAGTGCCCGAAACAAGCATAGCTTTCCATATTGACCACATCAGGCTGCAAATATTACTTCGTTCATGTATGAAATGAAGTTCAGTAAATCTAAAGTGCAGTTGCAGTGCACATGTTTGAAATACATGGAAGAACAAGAAACAATATTGCTATACAGACGATGTGTTTACGTCATCTTTCCCCGTGAATGAACTCTAGCTGACCCTATGCTCGGAATCGCATTTTAGGGTGTGGTTAAATAAAAATAATTTCTTTGACCTTGTTTACTGTATTATTAGAATGCTTTAGCTAAATATAGACAAATCAGGAAAGGAAAACAATGTGTAAGCCCTTTCTAGAAATATCTGTAAAACAGAGTATAAAAGGAAGAGAGATATATTTTTGGTAGTTCGCTGCTATTACGATATAGATTTGCTAAACGAGACAGATATTTTTTTACTAAAATTTGTTGTGCTTGTGTAGATTCCCTTTTCATCATTGTACCTTTTTACAACATTGTATCTTCTTTAACATTGTACCTGTACAAGCCAATCATTATACTATAAGTCAACAGCTTAAATTTTATTTATTTTTGATTTTGTAATTTTTTTTATGAACTTAATAAAATTTACAAATTGTAATTTTCCCTGGTTTGAGTATCGTATTCTTTGTTATTGATTTTAACATATGGCATCGTCTTTTGTTGTGTACTGTTTTAGAACGATCCATACACTTAAATAAGAGATCAATTTCTCCATACTGATAACAATACGTAACAAATTGATGGGCAAGTATTACAGTCAAATATTTTATATGCATTATACAGGAAGCAAAAGCCAAAGCAAGTATTCATCTAGCTACTACTTAGAAATTTTCATCATTTGCGCTTTAAAATGTCTCTCACCCCATAATTCAAATAATCCGATTCGATTGATTTGTTCACAGTCTAAAAATATATTTATTTTTTAAACCAAATATTTAACTTAAAATGTAAAAACTAAATATATCAGGCGTGGGCAAAATTTGAGTGCAGAGGGCGTCATTTACAATTGTAAAGCTATTGGGGGGCCACATGTATATTATGTCCAATTTTTATGTGTCTCTATTGAGGAGTCCAATTGCAAACCCTGCTAAGTCGATTTTTTGAGGAAAAAAAATGAGTTAGTCCCCTTGGCTCATCTATGAAGTGCTATTTCACAATATTTTACTAGTTTTTAAAATCAAACCCCGCTAAGTTCGCTTATTTCGCTATTTAAAAACGGAGTGGCTATAGGTACCCGGGTACCTATAGCAGCAACTGGCTATTCGGATCCGGCTGGTCACGTGAGGGCTTTAGATCCTCGGTTGGTCACGTGATAGTCATGACGGATACTTCATACTTCCTGTTGGTTTGCGATCTTAGAGCCACCATTATCAATCGAGACATGTACCACATTTAGAAGAATTTCAATTAGCGTTGAAGAAACTCGAATAACAATGTTCGTACATCTAAAAGCAAGTAAGAATACGTTTATGTTTATAATTTTATTGTATTTTTAAATTCTATTTTAAATATAGTTCTATAATCATTAACATGACATCAATCAAGATCAAAGTTGCTTTTTTTTTGGCGGAAAATCGCTACTGTCTTATCTGTAATTGTAATGAAAAGTTTGGCTGCGGCTATTCGGACCCGGTATCAGAAGTGGGTACTTCAATTTTAATTCACCGCAAAAATTATTATTATTCACTTTCCCCATATAACAAATGTTCTTTTGAATAAAAAAAAATGGCTAAAAACAATTCGGAGAGATCAACCCGCGGCCGCCATCTTGGTTATCGTGACCCACGAACTTCTGTCCTAAATGTATCCCTAAACTAACCTGAACCCCAAATGTATCCCTAAACCTAACATGAACCCTAGAATGTATCCCTAAACCTAATCAATCTGAATTAGCCTAAAAAACTTTTAATTCAAAAAT